TATATGGGTTCTGTTGCAGACATGATGGTGGGTTTGACTGTGGACCACTGTCCCAGGTTTCACCCAATATTTTTGTATATGGCCCTGGGAACTGAACCTAGGGCCTTGGACATTCTAGGCAAGTGCTCTATCACCGAGCTGCATAAGTGTTATATAATTCACATCTTGGGCAGCTGATAGTCTTGGTCTGATGGTATCTACTTCAAAATTGGTTCTTCTCCCTGAACGAGTTGGGACAGCAGATAAGAGGCTGCATTATAGCTAAGACCTTCCCAAAGTCAACCTCGATAAGTATATATTCTTTTCATGTTTGGGGACCAAGCATTTCCAGTTAGATTGTTGATCAGATTATCATTGTTCCTTTCTAGCAATCTGATGAGTCACTTTTTAGTTTTTTACATTTATTCTCCTGTGACTTTAGGAAATTCTTATAAATTAAAAGTGGAAGGTCATTAATAGATAATAACTTTAAAGTAGAATAATCTCCCAGTTTTCTGAACCAAAATTCTTAAGGTACATTAAAATATAGATAAATAAGCAATAATCAGTCTTGGCTAATGGATAGAATATAGCAATTTGATGACATATAGGAAATCTAGATTGATTGGTTGGTTGACTTGGTGTGCTGGGGATCAAACCCAGGGCCTGATGGGTGCAAGGCATGCCTGTACCTCTCCACTTCATCCAGCCCAGAGAATCTGGAACATTTAATGTGGTAATTATAGTCCATCAGTGGTTAAAACAATGTTTTCCTCAATTGTAAACAAAATTTAAGAAGTAAATTAATATATTTCCAAGAATTAGTTGAGGTTTAACACACTATGGCTTTGTAGACAGCAAGGAGTTTTTGCACATTAATATGTGGTCAGTGTAAGCACATCAGAGTTAAGCCCTCCTTGTTGGTTAAGGTGACCACTGTTTTTGCAGCTTTATGGTAGGCCTCTGAGGAAAACTCTAGTGCAGATAAAACCCACAGTTAATCCCAGTCTGAATCAGTAATTTCCACTTTGATATGTTGTTTTTCTCTCTGAAAAGGCATAAGGGAAATGTGATTAATAAAGCCAACCACTAGTTTTCATTTTGTTTTTGATGGAAATATTTCCTCCCATAAAATTTAATGGCTATGAATCTGATTTCAAAGATTAGTTATCATAACGAGCCCTGTCTCCTGAGAGGCAGTTTAGAACAATTTCATTAAAATCAGGTAGCCAATCAAAAAGAATGGAACATTATCAAAGAAGACTATATAAAAATAAATTCAGATCTGGTCTGATATTTTGTTACTCCTACCCCTCACCCTCAAAAGAAGTCAGTACACACAGTGCAGTCTTTTCATTTTCTTTGAAGCCCATGTTTATGACTACTTTAAAGATGAAGCTGCAGTTGCCCTTTATATCTGTGGGTTCTGCATCTGCAGGTCCAAAAACCAAAGATTGAAAATATTCTAAAAATAATTATATCTGTACTGAACATGTACAGGTATTTGGGGGATTATTAACCTAGAAATGACTTTAAGTCCACAGGAGGATTTGTACAGGTTATAAGAAAATATTATGTTAGTTTGTATGAGGAACTTGAGCATCTTTACATTCTGGCATCTGCTGTAGTTATGGCCATTCCCGAGAATACTGAGGGGGAAGTATTGTGGATAACTGGTGTCCCCTTGCATAGGAATCAGAATAGATCTAAATTCTACCAAAACACTTAAAAAAATACTTTTGCCAAAGAAAACCTTCTACATTTTAGTGTCTTGTATATATGAAATTCATATGTGCCCTGTATAATATGAATGGGTTTATTTGTTCAAATATGTACTGAGCATCTACAGTTTGGCAGGTACTGTTCTAGGTGCTAGAAATCCAGCACTTAGCAAAGCAGACATAGTTTTCACTCCCCAAGAAGACTGTGTCTTGGGTCATGATATTCTAGAAAAGTGATAATAGTGTACTTTCATACTGTCTAAAAGAAAATCTTGCTGTCTTAGGTAGTAACCATCATCTGGTAGAGCTTGGCTCTTACAGATTTATGACTGACTGACGCCCCCCGTGGTGGCAAGTGCGCGCATGCATTTGTTCTCAGAGGCTGCCCAGTGACATTTCCAGCTTGCCTACGTGTTCATTCAGACCTGAAGTCCTTTCAGACACACTTGCCTCTGCCTAAGTGCAGTCTCAGTTATTGCTATACATGACTCTGTGTGATACACACGTGTCACATACACACAGGCACACACCGTTCTGCTGATTTCTTCTGTTCTCCACAAAGGTTAAGCTAGGTTTTGTTCTCCTTCAGAGAGATCATAGTCACATGGTCAGTGTTCTGGTTTAGTAAGTGCTTTATATGTGGTAGCATTGGGTATAAATATTTGTTGACTTCAAGCTACTGTCCTAAAATCACATAATATAGCAGGTCCTTTAAAAGTGTTGTGCGTTGGATTTTTAAAAATACTTTGTATTTCTTGACGTTTTGTCTTTTATTGAGTCAAACCACTTAGTGTGTCAAATCTTGTTTTAAAAAAATGGTACAAATTGCACTAATACGAAACTTCTAAGACTCCATTTATGCTCATTAAGACTTAGTATTCATGTTCATGGGCCCTATACCCTTTGTGGTGGAGGCAAAATAATATAATTAAAATTAGTATGGCCATGTCTAATGTCTACTTTGTTAAATTGAAGAGAATGTTATCAGGGGCTGTTTTCCTTTAACTCTTCCTCCTGCCTCTGTTCTCAACGAAGGTTAAGCTAGGTGTAATGATTTCCATTATGAACTGGGTTTTTTCCTGTGTGAATAATTGCTGCTGGGATGGGCAGGTAGGTCGTCACTGGAAGTCCCTCTGGTCTGTGCCCAGTGTTCTCTTGGCAGCAGCGTGTCTGCTCCGTGACCCAGCAGACTTGCCTTGGAGTAAGCGTCAATCTTGAGGGTGGGCATTGCAGAAAAGATTTGTATCAACAAAGAGTACTCAACAATCACAGAGTTAATGGAAATAGTGGGATTACAAAGTTAACTATTCGTGTTTTGTTGGTTGGTTATAAATTCTGTTCAGGCTTTAGTTCTTCAGTCTTTCATTGGGACAACTTGTGGGACCTGGCCACATTATGTTACATTTGAAGAATTTCATGTATGGAAAAAAGTTTTAATTAATTATTATTATTTTTTTTTAGTTTGTTTTGTGTTTCTTTTTCTTTTTTTTTTTATTGGTTGTTCAAAACATTATAAAGCTCTTGACATATCATATTTCATACATTAGATTCAAGTTGGTTATGAACTCCCAATTTTACCCCAAATACAGATTGCAGAATCACATCAGTTACACATCCACATTTTTACATAATGCCCTATTAGTAACTGTTGTATTCTGCTACCTTTCCTATCCTCTACCATCCCCCACTCCCTCCCCTCCCATCTTCTCTCTCTACCCCATCCACTGTAATTCATTTCTCTCCTTGTTTATTTTCCCATTCCCCTCACAACCTCTTATATGTAATTTTGTATAACAATGAGGGTCTCCCTCCATTACCATGCAATTTCCCTTTTTTCTCCCTTTCCCTCCCACCTCATGTATCTGTTTAATGTTAATCTTTTCTTCCTGCTCTTCCTCCCTGCTCTGTTCTTAGTTGCTCTCATTATATCAAAGAAGACATTTGGTATTTGTTTTTTAGGGATTGGCTAGCTTCACTAAGCATAATCTGCTCTAGTGCCATCCATTTCCCTGCAAATTCTATGATTTTGTCATTTTTTAGTGCTGCGTAATACTCCATGGTGTATAAATGCCACATTTTTTTTATCCATTCATCTATTGAAGGGCATCTGGGTTGGTTCCACAGTCTAGCAATTGTGAATTGTGCTGCTATGAACATCGATGTAGCAGTATCCCTGTAGTACGCTCTTTTAAGGTCTTCAGGGAATAGTTCAAGAAGGGCAATAGCTGGGTCAAATGGTGGTTCCATTCCCAGCTTTCCCAGGAATCTCCATACTGCTTTCCAGATTGGACGCACCAGTTTGCAGTCCCACCAGCAATGTACAAGAGTACCCTTTTCCCCACATCCTCTCCAGCACTTGTTGTTGTTTGACTTCATAATGGCTGCCAATCTTACTGGAGTGAGATGGTATAATTATTTTTTAATTGACAAAAAAATAGTATATATTGTATGAATCATGTACAGCATGTTTTGAAATAGGGGTACTGTGCATTGTGTAATGGATGTATTAAACTAGTTAACATGCATTATCTCACACTTGTTTTTTTGTGATGAGAACACTTAAAGTCTCTTAAACTCACAGCAGTAGTAATACAATACATTGTTATTAACTATAGTCTAGAATTTTAATTTTTTTTCCTAGTACTGAGGATTGAACCTAGGTCCTTGCGCATGCTAGACAAGTGCTCCACCACTGATCCACTTCACCAGCCCCTACCTCTTGATTTTATTTTGATTCAGGGTCTTGCTAAATTGCCCAGATTGGTCAAACTTGTGATCCTCCTGCTGCAGCTTTCTGAGTTGCTAGGATTACAGGTTACCCCCACAGAGCTCCAGATTTTTAATTTTTAATGAATTAAATGAAGCAGGCTGTAAGAATGGAATATAATTAAGTAGTTAGTTGAAAAATCTTAAAAGAAGGTAATTCTCACTTGAGACTTTTATTTATTATGAGTGATAAATTTTTTAAAAAAACAATGATATACAAAATATATTTTTGCATAATTCTCGTACACCTTTGAGTGAGGGAGGTGATGGATGAATGGGTGGAGGTTATAAGTACCTGAATTATGGATCTGTATTTTGACAGTTCTAATGTAAGAATATCCATTAATATCTTTGATTCTCAGACTGAGATTTTTTTTTCCATTATCTACTTGTTCATTACCTGTTGTTATTTTTCAGTTTTTCTGATATAAATAAGAATTTAAAATTGTATTTAAGGAAATGGTTGTAAAGTAACTAAGTCTGGACAGATGTGGCGAGAATGTGCACTTGCTAACCTTTAATAAACACCCACAGGTTTTGGGTCCTGCTCCGCGGTGGTGTTCCTTCTTAGACAACTTGACGGAAGAATTAGAAGAGAACCCAGAAAGCACAGTTTATGATGATTACAAATTTGTCACCAAGAAAGATCTTGAAAATTTAGGTAAAAAGAATTACAACATCTTTATGAAAATTTTCTCACTTTGTTTTAGTTTTGAACATTAAAGGTGACTGGGTCAGGTTTATCTAATTTTCAAAATCTTCCCTCTCTATCAGATCGGATATTTAAAGTGTTATGAATTGCCAAATTTGTAATCTCTGCTTAAGTTTTAGGTAAATTCAATCTCTAGATTTTTTTTCTGTATGTTAAAGGAGAAATGATTTCTTTGAACATACTAGCCATGTATAGAAAAATTACATCAAGAAAAGAGTGATTTTTTTTTCCAAGTGCTAAGTTGCAAATAAGGTTTTGAAAATATTTGCCTATCATCCAGTTAGTACTCACAACCCCACAGAGTAGGTATTATTATAATTCCATGTTATAGATAAGGAAGCTAAGCACAGGAAGATAAAAGGAACTCTGCAAAGGGTTCTGTGTTAATATATTTCAGAGTTGGGACTTAAACCCAGACCCCATGCTTTTTACCTCAGTTAGGCCAGTCTCTTGGGAGGGCATATTTATCCTATTGCCCAGCAGTCCTTTGTAGGATAAAGAGGGTAGATTTTGCTAATCTTGTTCTGTTGTTGGCAGAGAACTACATAGCAAATTATTGAGAGTAGGAAAACTTAGAGGATCCCTTCTCCACAAGTCTGGGCAACTTCATTGCCTTTAGAACAATTAGATGAAAACAGCAGTTGAATATTAAAAGAATAGAGTCATGTAATAATTAGATTAATTGAGCAGTTCTTAAAGCATTTTAATATTCATTTTTTAGTTTTAGTCAGACACAACATCTTTGTTTGTATGTGGTGCTGAGGATCGAACCCGGGCCGCACGCATGCCAGGCGAGCGCGCTACCGCTTGAGCCACATCCCCAGCCCTTAAAGCATTATTTATAACTTGTATCTCATAGCAGTTAGTCCAGACAGAATCATTTTATACCAGTTAACACCAGAATAGTTATTTAACTTTTAATGTGTCTAAAAAGGAAGGAACAACATTCAGCCTTTAGTAAATGACTGACGAATGAAATAGGGTGACATAGCATCTTCTACAGAAGTGCCTTCGTAAGTATCTCCAACATAATTAATCTTTGTAATGTCCTGTGTCACACTCAGCTACACCCTTAAGTTGGAGGGGGAAAAGTCATTTTATTTTGTGGATTTTTTTTTTTCCTTTAAACTATCTTCAGTATGTTTTGGATACTTTTTCCAGTCTTCACTATGTTTGAGTGAGGAAAGCAATTAGTTATAAGTTTAGATACATTTTGTTCAAATGTAATTTTATTGCCCATTTAAGAAAAACTATAGAAATAGATACATTAGTCAACAAAATAACAGTTATACTAGAAAGCATGGCAGATGAGTTTGGTGAATATTAGGTTAAGCAAAGTTCAATCAATTCCTTAACTTGCAAACATCTTAGACCTATTAATGTGGAACATTATAAATCCCGGGGGAATTGGGAGGGGCATATGAAACATTCCTCAGTTTTTTTTCTTTAGAAGATCTCTCAGGACCAGTACTCTGTGGAGCTATCTTTGGAAAATGCTGCTTCTGTCAGATTGTGTTTAGAAATATGAAAAGCTTTCTGCTGTTTTTTAATTTATGACCTTATTTGATACTGAAATAATCCTGGGCTATAATAGAAGTTTTATACACTTAATGTAATAAAGGAAACAGATTATTTTGCTGTAACTTATAATAATAATTTGACAATCAGACCAATCATTCTGAGGAAAGAGTAAGTATAATCATAATGGGTACAGAAATTTAGGTTGTTAACATGGTACATTTTTGTCATAGTTCAGCCCTCTTTTTATAAGAATCCACTGTGAAGTTCTAACTCCTGGGGTTTCATTAACCTGATGAATTCCAGGGAAAGAGTTCTCTGGCCAAGTCTTATGATTACTTTATGAAATCATACTAAAAGGATATTAAGTATTCCCTTTTTATATTTCTCTGTACTGCGTATTGTTTTGTACTGCCAGGTGACTTTGCCTAGTACCTGATTTTCAGAGCTGTGGGTATATGTTCCTAAAATTTTGAAATCAGAGTAATGTTTCTCTTAGAAATACAGTTACTTGTTATTATACAAAGTTATTTTTCTTGTAGGTATATCTCATATGGTCTGTCATTGAGATAAATTTTTATAACATTATTTTATAACATATTTTTATAACATTATTCTGTGTGAGTATTTACAATTAATAAATAATATCTGTGACATTTGCAGAGAGTCCTTATGTGCCCACCAGCACCACTACTCCAAGTGTAATCTATTAGGAAACCCTACAAAAGGTGTCATTTAAGGCAGGGTTTCCAGACACTGATTGGCAGTGAACCTTTTATGTATGTGTATGTATATATATATATATATATATATATATGTATGTAATGTAGGTCTTAATAATATAAATAAATATATTTATAATATAAATAAATAATGTAGGTCTTGGTGTGTATAAGTGTGTTTGAAACGTGAACATACGTTTGTCCACTGTTCTTTCTTGGGAATGCTTAATATCCTTTCTATATTTCTGTTGTGACCGTGTCCTTTGCTTTAGGAAATGATGGGAGATGATATTTCTCCTTTGCAGTACAAAGTTTCAACTTATCTGTTGATTACCAATATTCCTTTTTAAGTTAAATTAGCAGAATCCTAAAATCTGAGAATCACTAATATAAGGAACCCTGTTTGCCAATTTGTCACAGTTCATAAAGACCTTTTTTTTAAAATTAAAAAAAAAACATTTTTATGCTTAGTAAGATATTTAAAATGATACTAATGAAGTAGATTAAATTTTCTCCATAGATGTTGAAAATTAATAATTCTGATTCCTAAATTTTACTCCAAAGTGAAATCTTATTACAATCAAGTTGTTCATTTTTAATCAAGGCTTCATAAAGACTTTCCCTCTTCTGATTAACTTTTCCCAGGACTTACACATCTCATTGGATCACCTTTTCTTCGGGCATATATGCATGGATTTTTCATGGATATAAGACTATATCACAAGGTAAATACAAAGCTACAGTTGTTTTAGGGGCTAATGAGCAATCTGTAGCTGTTTCTTCTCTAGGCACTTTCATAGAATATACTTAACGACTTGTAAGGGCTATGTCTGTCCTTTGGCATAGTAATCCCAGCATATATGAAACATGTTGCTAAATACCATTCTTTCACTAATTTTTTTTCTCCCTTTGAAAAGGTGAAATCAATGGTAAATCCATTTGCTTATGAAGAATATAGGAAAGATAAAATTCGACAGAAGATAGAAGAAACACGTGCACAGAGAGTCCAATTAAAGGTAAAGATTGTACATAACCATTGAATTTATTGGAGAGGAAAGCTGATTTCATTTCGTGTGTTCTTCCCAGGAAATCTGCCATCCTCTCCGGTGCTTTTTGTTTGTCTTTAATTTACATATTTTATTTATACTTTGGTATGTTTTGTTCACTATGAAGGTGGACACTCTTCTCAGTCTTGCCATTATGAACTCTATGGGAATGGAGTTGTCAGAAATAATATAAAATGCCCAATATTGTCACCCCTACTAAGAAAATCCCATAGTGTTTTTCAGACAACTGCAGGTTTGCAGGCTGGATCATGGGTATTCTCATTAGGTTGTCAGGAAACAAACTACACCAGTTATATTGGTCAAGCGAATTTAATATAAATATTAATCAGGTGTTAGAGAACACTGACGTATGGATAGGAGAGGCAGTTACCACTTCAGAGCTGTGCAGCTGGGAAGAGGAGAGTCCTGTGGCAGGGAGACCCAGGCTTCTGAGGAAGGGCTGCCGGCTGGTCCCTTTGAGTATAATGAGGATGGACTCGACATATTGGGAACTGCAAACGGGCATCCAGCACCATTGCTGGAGTCACCTGCTGCTTCCATGGTACTGTGTGATGCCAGCCCTGGCAGGAGCTTTCTGTCTGGCTGCTCCTGCCTTCCACTGTCTCTGGTCACCATTGATTAAGTTTAGTCACCAAGTCATACAAATATTTATAACTGAACATTGGTAAAAATACCTGTTTGTGTATGCATGTGTATGTAAAATATGCATGTACCCTTACAGGATAAGACTAGTGACTTGTTTGCTGAAATTACCTCAGTGTTTCTTTTTTCTTTTCCTCTGCTGTTTAAAATATGTGTATGTTTGTGTGTGGTGCTGGAGATCACGTCAAGGACCTTGCACATAGAAGGCAGGTGCTTTTGCTCTGGCCTTTTACACTACTTGTCAGAGTTGTGTTTTGCCTGATGTGATGTGGAACATAAAACACTGAGTGCAAGAGGACAGTAGATATCCTGTAGCTACCGGAGAGTTGTCAGACTCACATCTAGAATTCCTTTTGAAATCTATCATGTGGGAACAGGAAACCGTGCAGTGAGCATTATTAGCATTTTATCATTAGCAGTATTAGCATTTGAGTTAGAGGCTTCCTTGCCAGACCTGCTGGCCTCCTGTTGATCAGGATGAGTCCTAGGCCCTCTATGGCTAATGTAGGTCAAATACAGCATCTCCCCGTTTATTTTCCACATGCTGGGAAAAGGCATATGGAGGGCATGCGCTCCCAGCAGCCGGCGGAGGCTGCCATTTTTGTACCTCGTGGCCTACCTATAACATCCCTTCTGTTTGTGTTATTTTTTCTAGTGTGATTGATTTTAGAAATAAGAATTCACTATCTCCTGTTTGTGAAATTATACTCATTACAGAACTACCAACCTTTTTTAAAGTGAAAATATAGATGTCTTTGCTTTTTCCCCCCTCTTTACTAGAAATTGCCAAAAGTGAACAAAGAACTCGCTCTTAAATTAATAGAGGAAGAAGAGGAGAAACAAAAATCTACATGGAAAAAGAAAGTTAAGGTAAGATTTCATAAAGCTTAGGAAATATTGATAGGTTTTTTTCCCTATACTTTTCTTGATAGTAAGATGTATCTTTTTGTTGTTGTTGTTTCTTTTTACTTTAAAAATGCATGTATTTTTTTCTTTTTTCTGCCTATAACATGGTATATGCTCAATATGGGAAATTTGGAAGGTAGAGTATTCAGGAGAAGGCTGCCGTGGTCTTCTATCCAGGGAAAAACATCATTAATATTTTAGTGAATTTCCTTCTTGTCCTCTCTCGAAATTATAAACTATAATAGCAAGCACTGTAATCAAAAAATATAATAAAATATTTATCCTGGGTATATAAAATAACACAGGTGGTTCCCATTTTGTTAGAAATTCTTTGTGAATATTTTTAATAGCTGTATATTGTCTTATGTATGTCTTATAATTTACTTACTTTTATTGGTAAATATTCTGATAGTTTTTTTTCTTTGTGCTTACTAGACTTGTTTGTGATTCTGGAGGTAACCAGCTCTTACTTAACCTTGCACTATTGTGTGTGCAGGCTGACATGTACCTGCTGCCTGTCTACCTGCCTTTTTCTGGTGTGAAGGTAGACACACATCAGTTGTACAATGAATGAGGGTTGGCACTTTGCCTAGCTGACATTGTGCAGAAGTGAGAAGACTTTTCTAGTTTGTCTTGAGACATGAAGTCCTGTTTTCTCATGCATGTAGAGAAAGCAGGCAAGGCACAGGTGTGGCTGGGCACTAGCCTGAGTTGTGGGAGCCTAGACCCGACCTTGTGCCCTGGGCCAGCCGTGAGGAGCCCTGAGTAGGTATTTGTCTATTTATTCTGTTCTCTGGTTTTTAACCAGATAAGTGAATGCGAGATAATGGAGCTCTTATGCTTATTTTTGTTTCACTCTCGTCTTACCCAATACACAGGGACTTCAATGACAGGGTCGTTTCTGGGCATCTCGCTCACTGGTTGTGTGATATTGGGAGGTTCCTGCAGCTTCCCTGGGCCCCTGTTTTTCCATCTGTAACATGCAGGGATAGATGGGGGCATTCTGGGTGCTATGCTTTCTGCAAAAATCAGGCTCACTACGTCCTTGCCTTCCTCTCTTCCTTACTCTCCTAATTCTCCTAATACATCCCTTCATCCAGTTTGCTTCATTCTTTTAATATATTGTTTGAATCTTAATTTTACTTACTTCCTTAAGTAAACATATGACTTTTGTGCTTCTTTTTTTATTACATGAATACTATATCAATATTGAAAGGAAAACTTACTAGTATTTAAATTTACATCTATGTACTGTGGCTGTACACCTTCCTAACTGGATATGTATACCTTGAAATGTCTAAAACATGAGCGCTTCCTGAAGCATCCACTTTGCTGCTGCTGTTACCGAGGCCTGAACATGACAGGGCCAGGTCCTTTCCAGCTTCCCCGTGTCATTTCACAAGCTGAGTGGAAGTGGTTTTTGTATATACATGTCCTAGAGCGTCTTTTTTAGATATAGATAGATAGATATAGGTATATATATATATATATATATGATGTTGATGGATATGTATTTATTCATACGTGGTGCTGAGAATTGAACCCAGCACCTCACACATGCCCTATAAGTGCTCTACCACTGAGCCACAGTCTCAGCCCCTGTCCTGGGGCTTCTTCAGAGAGAGCGTGGGGCTGCCTCTGCTGGGATTTGTGCGCTCCGCATGTGATCTGTGCTTAGGAGTCCTCACCCAGATGGAGCACTGCAGAAGGTCGGTCTTGCAGCGTGGTATGCTAGAGGTTTTTCACAAGACCCTGTGAAGATAAAGGTGAAGGAGAAATCTCTCTTGTCCCCATTTTCTTTGGGAGGTTTTTTTTTGAGGTTGGGAGCAACTGGAAAAGATGGAGAATTCATAGTAACTAGGAAGTAGAAATGAACTTGAATGCTTCATACACGCAAAGTGATCTTCATAGTCAGTGGGGAAAACTGCCATAAAGTGAAGACATTAAAGATCACTCATGAACTAAGGAAGAATCCTTTCTTCTAACTGTAAAGAGTACTTGAAAGAATGGTTAACTCTCTCAGCAGATCATCACTCTTGCTTTTGAACTGTGTGCTCTTCAAAACCCCAGGAACTCTGATATCTCCTGGTTGTGAGTATCTTGTGGGGGATGTTCTGCTTTGTCTACAACTGAAATTTAATGAAGGCAGACAGTGAAGTGTGTTCCTGAATATCACCAACCCTGATAACATGATAAAAGTCTAGTAAGATGATTATTGCACAATTGATGTTGAACCTGTGGTGGGAAGTGGCCCACCACATAGTGTCAATAAGCGCTGTCTGGACTTTGTCCAAACCTCTAAACTTGGTGTTGTGGATTCTAACTAAGAATTAATACATTGATTCTTTCAACAAATACACAGTGAGCTCTGGGTATGCATGAGCAGCTTCGAGAAGTACAGGCATCTGTGATCGATTTTGTTTGTAAGGGTTTGATTTGGGTTCAAGCTGTGTCTTTCTGCAAAACTTTCCTTTTTGCCAGTTTTCCACTGTGCTGCAAAGTCTTGTGTAACTGCACCTTTTCTTGGATCTGCAGCAGCTCAGTCAAGGCAGTGTGTGAGTTTCCAGGCCGTGTGTGCTCTGGCTAGGAGGACATTGTGGAAGAGGCGTCTTAGCCTTAGGAATTACTGAGTACCACTGAGAGTTTATATTAAAGTAGTATCCATCTCTTTAGGAAAAAGGCATGTTTACATACAGACATTTGTATATAACATTAGATCAGATAGTTTTAATGTCCTAAATATTATTTTTAATATACTATTTTTAAAGCTTCTTTGGTAACCAGTTTAAAAAAATTGTGTGTGTGTAGTTACATTTATACATAATAGTTTAAAAACAAAACATTTCTCTGGGCTCTGTTAAGATCATTGGCTAATCAGAGTGCAGTGGCACACACCTGTAATCCCAGCAGCTCAGGAGGCTGAGGCAAGAGGATCACAAGTTCAAAGCCAGCCTCAGCAACTAAGTGAAACCCTATCTCTAAATAACACGTAAAAAAGGGCTGGGAATGTGGCTCTGTGATTAAGTGCCCCTCGTACAAAAAAAAAAGAAAAAAGATCATTGGCTGTCCATTGTTTCTTCCGCCCTACCCTTCCTCCTTTCACCTCAACTTTTTACTGTTGGGCTTTTTTTTAGAGAGAGAGAGTTTTTTTTTTTAATATTTATTTTTTAATTATCGGCGGACACAACATCTTTGTTTGTATGTGGTGCTGGGGATCGAACCCGGGCCGCTTGCATGCCAGGCGAGCGCACTACCGCTTGAGCCACATCCTCAGCCCGACACAACATTTTTATTTGTATGTGGTGCTGAGGATCGAACCCAGCACCGTGCGCATGCCAGGCAAGCGCGCTACCGCTTGAGCCACATCCCCAGCCCGGTTATTTTTTTAAACAAGCCTTTGCTCCTGGTAAAGGCACATTGTGATTTTAGTTTTGTCTGTGTTGGACATGTACACTGTTATAACTATATAAAATAGTATTTCCAGGCAGGTGGATGGCAACTTTGTTTCTCACATAATCTCTACCCTGGAGTTTGCAGTTGTTTCTCTCACATGGGGTGTAGTTATCACTGACCAACCACTAACTAGTTCTTTACCAGATATCTTCATCTCATCTCAAATCATCTCCATAGGTCAGATATTGTGTTAATTTTACCTTCCTAAAGAAGTTGCTTCTAGGGGCTGGGGCTGGGGCTCAGCAGTAGCGCGCTTGCCTGGCATGTGTGAGGCACTGGATTCAATTCTCAGCACTGCGTATAAATAAATAAAGTTCCATCAACAAATTATATATATATATATATATATTTTTTTTTTTATATTTTTTTTTTTTTTAAGAAGTTGCTTCTAGATCTTTCTGGACTGATCACCTGATCCTGGGATCTCCCTTTCCCATTTTTCTGGGGATTCATACCACCTCACTCTGATGTTGGACAAGGAATTAGACGAAATTTGTTTTCTGAAGGAGTAGAGTTTCCAACCTGATGTTTTATACCCCATACAAGGGGTCTTTCTAGGTGAGAGTGTAGTAAAGGTGATGTTAAAATGCAGTACTCAGCCCTAGTGGCAAAGTGCCCTTGCGTGCTGCTTCTCCCCATGAGGTGACCAGAGAAGCTGCCCCTCTGAACAAGAGAGGTAGCCTGGGAAGCAGCTAGGAAACCTGCAGGCGGCGAGCATGCTGGGCTGTGTGCCCACTCTGGGCTAGACTCTGGCCTGCATTGTGGCTGCTTGGTAAGCCCTTCAGACTGGACACTTGGGCTTGTTGTGCCAGGGGATTTTCCTGAAAAAAATTCGAATAGTTTTTACTTTGTGACCCTTGTTTACTTGTTCATAGTGAAGAGTGAGGGAGTTAGCAGTATGAAAACTCAGAGGTGGGCAGGCCGAATATCTGGCGAAGGCCCAGCATCAGTCATTAAGTCTTCTCTCTGCTGCTCAGGTCCCCCTGCTTGGAGGGTGGCTGTCCCTCTGGCAACTAGCATTCTGCAGGTGCTGAGCACTTGGGGGATGCCGTGATGGACAGGGGGACACCTCGGGCCTCAGGTGCTAATCTTTACATCCATTCCTGTTACTAGCACAATTCCCTTGCCCTCACCAGTCCCCCTTCTCTTCCTTTTCCGCTGGGACAGGGACGAGTGTTGAGGCAAGCATTCCTCCATGTTACTCCAGTGAGACAGTGTTAATGGTAGCCACCCTGCTCAGATTGACAGATGCAGTTCTTTGGGCTTTGGTCTGAACACTGCTTTCAGATGTTTTTCACACGTTGCTGGTAGGTGTTGAGCATGTGTGTGTGTGTATTTATAGGGAGATCACTAGCCAGACACTTGTCTACTACTACAAAACATCGCTAACTATGCCTTATCCTGCACCCCCCTGTTTTAAAAAGACAGCTGTGAAAACAATTAGACTAAGAAAAGTCCCTGAAGGAACTATTTTTATAGCTAGTTCAGGAGTTTTTTTATTTTATAATTGTTCATCTAAAGCATGCCTATCTTAGGCAATGCAATTTATTTTAAATTAAGAAAAGCATCTCAAGAATACCAGCAACAGGGGCTGGGGTTGTAGCTAAGCGGTAGAGTGCTTAGAGTGCTTATCTTGTATGTGTGAGGAACTGGGTTCCAGCCTCAGCACCACATAAAAATAAGTAAATAAAATAAAGATATTGAGTCCTGCTACAACTAAAAAAAAAAAAAATTTATTTAAAAAAAATCAGCAACATTCTTTTTGACATGGCTATTGACTTGAGATTATCTGGATCTTTGGCAGTGTCGCCTTCCCACTGCCTGAGACACTGCCTGACACCTGATGAAGTCCTCCAGCGTCAGATGACTGTCTATTGTCGCACCCGCAACCAGTGTTAAGTGGAGCGTCAGTCCTTACCCTTTACTCGCCCATGCCCTTTTTCCAGTGCTCCCGTGGTGCTTCCTAACACGGTAGCACAGCTGTCTAGTCCAGTCGCAGCAGCGAGTTGCTGGAGAGCCATTTCTAACCCTGCTTTTTGTGTGTGCCAGGGATTAAACCCAAGGGTGCTTACCTGAGCAACATCCCAGCCCTTTTTATTTTCTGTTTTGAGACAGGGTCTTGCTGAGTTGCCGAGGCTAGCTTTGAGCTTGTGATCCTCCTGCCTCAGCCTCCCATGTCACTGGGATTGCAGGCATGTGCCACTGCACCCAGCTTCTAAACCTGCTTTGAACCCTTGACCCTCCTGTGTCGCCCATAGCTGTAGCTCTCAGTTCTGCACCTCAGAAATGTGCCTCAGTAAGTCTTTCCTGAACAGTGTCTGCCCACCTTTTATTCCCATCACCCTTGTTCAGACCCTGCCTCTTTTCCTGTTTCCTAGGGTGGCCTCTTGGTCTTTCTCACCAGCCCACCTTACATTCTTAGAGCATGGTTCTGTTTGTTGGCAAAGACCCCCTTCTCCTCCTCGTCCTCTCCTTCTCTATAGTGGCTCCCCAAGACCTTTAGAATAACAGTCATGGTGTTTAAAATCCTTGACCGTCTGCTTGGTCAGAAATGCCTGTTTAAATTACCCAGCTTCTGATGTCATCAGAGGACTTGCCACTCCCCAGTCTTTCTTCACGTTTCTGCCTTTTGAAACCCACTCGTCCCTCCAACCTCCTCCCAAATTGTCTCTGCTGGACTTCCTCGTGTGGGGCCTTGTAGCACCCTTGTTGCAGGTTGTTTTTTTTCCTCACGAGATTGTGGTCAGGAACTAGATCTTTCCTGTGGTTTTTTCCTTAGCCCTCAGTTTGTTTTAGAAGCAGCTTGTAATCAGGGAAGACTTGTTGAAATCTCTCTCTCATGCATTTTTAGGTAAGGCCTTACCAGTTTTTAGGTATATACAAGTATTAAGCCACATTCCTTAATATCTTAAACATCTCCAGGTGTTTGTGTGGATCTGTCACAAATAGTGTTCAGAATTCAGGTACAAAACAGTCAATAAAGTAAAGCCCGTTCAGTGGAGCGGATTCCACTGCAGGCTGCTTGGCCCCGTTCTACTTAAGGCTGTTGGCTCTGGTTTGCCATCTGTCCTCAGTCGGTGATGCAACCTGGTTTCCAGGCCTGTGGCTTAAAGGTAAGGAATAGTAAGAGCCCCAGTCTGAGGTTGCTGTCATCTGTTTCGGTGAACAGGTAAGTTTGTAATACGTTTTAGGAAACTTTCTGTTTAAAATGATACAAATAGGAGGTTATGTCAGCCCTGAGCTATCCATATGGGTCTCAATAGCCACAGTTATGGGGAATACACTGCATTCTTTGAGAACAATTCAGTGGCCCAGGGAAGAGATTCCGGTGAAGTTATCCTGTAAGGACAGAAACATCCTTGTTTTTCCAAGAAACTTACTGGAGTTCAGTAAATTTATACTGCTCCCTGTCCTCACCCACTGTGTCAACTGAACTCATTGGCATATTTCTACTTACAGAATTTGAAGGTGGAAGACTCGCTTAGTTCAGTGTCGTAGCTGTGCTTTAGCCATGTTGTCCCCTGCCCGCCCCCCGATATATTTCTTTGTAAGGTGTTGTATTTTGTTTTGCAGTGCTGGGGACTGAACTCAGGGCCTGGTGTGTGCTAATTAACCCTCCATCACTGAACTCTACCCCAGGCCCTTTATAATTTGAAACAGGGTCTTAACTGAGGTTTCCTCAAACTTGTGACCCCCGTGCCCCAGCTGCTGTCTGGAATACAGGTGTGCACCACAGCCCCCAGCTGAAAGTGCTTCTTGGCACTAGAAATATTAATTGAAGAAAATTCTTTCTGATGTATTGAGCATGAAGTTAACCAAAAGCATTTATTCTTAGCTCGTTACGTATAATGGCCAAGTACCATAGATCAGTCGCCAAGTAGATCAATAGAATGTGTTTTGTTGGTAGGAGATAAAACCTAGAGTCAATTAGAAAGTTCTGGAAACTAGTTCTAAAGAAATTACAAGAGATTATAATTTATGCCTCATGTAGTTTATTAACTTTACAACAGAATGAATTGTAAGCCATCTTTCTGGTCGGGTTTTATTTAGATTTTAACTTAAATTTTTACATACTTTTTTCTGTTTTTCTTATAGAACCTTCCTAGTATTCTCACCGATGATCGATTTAAAGTTATGTTTGAGAACCCTGACTTCCAAGTAGATGAAGAAAGTGAAGAATTTAGGCTTTTGAATCCACTTGTTTCAAAAATTAGTGAGAAAAGGAAGAAGAAACTAAGACTCTTAGAGGAACAAGAACTTCGTGAAAAAGTAACGTACTCTTTGCTCCTGTTTCTTTAATATAAAATTTTTCATGTAAATTAGGAACACTTGAGGTATCGTTAATTCCATCCTAGGGGCTTGGCTTTCAGCCTAGGAGTGTAGCTATTTAATTAAAGGCACTTGTGCAGTGTGCATGTTGGGGTGGTGTCTCGTACTCTAATGGACTAATGCTATTTTAAAAAAAAATGGTGGGACAGGTATTTAGTTGGGGAAAAGGAACTCTCTGCTTACCATTTTTAATTTCAGGAAGAGGAGGAAGAACCAGAAGGAAAACCCAGCGATGCAGAGAGTTCCGACAGTTCAGATGATGAGAAAGACTGGGTGGAAGAAGTCAGGAGGCAGCGCAGACTCCTGCGGCAGGAGGGAAAGGAGACGTGGCAGCACCAGGTCCAGGAGGACCAGCAGACGGTCCTGCAGCCCCAGTTCTATGAGATCAAAGCAGGGGAAGAGTTCAGAAGCTTCAAGGACTCAGCCACAAAGCAGAAGCTGATGAAGTGAGTAGTGCCACATGAGTACCACCTGAGTGGCAGCCAGCCTGTGGCACCCTTGCCTCCCTTGCTGCTGACAGGCGGCCCTGGATATGGCGCATCTCCTCCCGTGGTGGGACTGCAGGTCCGGGGCAGGGTTGAAGGGCCGGGCAGCCTGTGAGGAGGTGAAGCTGCGGAAGCTGAGCTGGTCCCTGGCTAATTTGTTCATTTAACTTTTTGAAATGTAGTTACCGCAGTAAAGCACAGGACGGGTCCTGTGCGTGTGGATGTGCACACCTGGGAGAGCACTTCAAGCTAGAAAGGCACACCCTCCTGTTGTCCTTTTCTCCCATCAGCTTCTCTAACCTACAGATATTTTTGTCTTGTTCCAAGTTTTATAGACCCAAGGTTTGAAACCTTTGAAAATAGTAAATTAGAGGTAACTAATTATTTGCCTCTTAACACAAAGTTATTTTTAAAAACCAGAACCACAGTTATTTTTACCCCATCTCAGCTTTTTTGGTTATTGAAAAGTTCACTTGGAAAATTTGCTAGAAATTTTAAGCCTTTTTCAGGAAAATAGATTTTTAAAAAAACAGTATTCTAAAATAGTCAAATAAATAGCAGTGGAGAGCAGAGGGTGGCTGCCCAGGGCTGGAGGAGGAGCGTTGGGGGCTTCTGTGTCAGGGAGACAGCATTGCAGTCTGGGATACTGGAGGTGTTCTGGAAGCAGATGGAGGTGATGGCCACACAGCAGAGAACTAATGCTACCAAACTGTCCCTTTGAGATGGTTAAAACAGTATGTTATAAATGTTTGTCATCATGAAAAAAAAAATCTAATTTCAAAAAGAAGTGGTATTGTTTGAACAATTTTCAGTTGTCAATGTCTCAGCAGGGAGTAGGCTAGGTCCTCAAGTCCGTTGGAAAATCTCTAGGCGGAGCTTTGATAGACAAAGTTTGGTTGTGCTTGATGGTCACAGGACATGTCTTGAAAGAAGAGCTGAGCCGTCCTGAGAGAGGAATGGGTAGGGCAGGTGGGTGGTAGGTGAGGCCAGTACTATCTCTGTGCCTTGTACTTCTCCAGAGTCAGGTTTCCATTCAGCAGACGGTGAGGAGGTGAAGGTGGGGAGGACATGGTAGACGGGGCCGAGACATGCCTGTCTCCTCTTCACTTCCCCCAGCTTCTAGCACCATCGAGGACACCAGATGATAGGGTCCTTCCATTTAGATCCATAAGCTTCCCAGGATTCTGGTTCTGATTAACTGAAGATTTGTTGGTGAGTGAAGAAGCTGGGAATATTCCTGACATCTTTCAAAGGTGTTTTGTTTTGTTTTGTTTTTGTTCTTGCCTACCTGCCTCTGGTTTTTGAAGTAACTTTCTGGAGGTGTAATTTATATTTCATACACTTCACCTGCTTAACACATGCAGCTCATGGGTTTTTAGCAACTGTCACCACAATGGTAGAACACTGTCATCACCCCAGAAAGAAACCCCGTGCCTTCACTCTCCCCTCTCCCAGACCTAGGGAACCACTAATCTGCTTTCCTGTTTTCAGGGATCACCTATTCTGATATCTCCTAGAAGTGGAATTGTGTATATATATATGTAGCATTTTGTGTCTGGCTTCTTCCTCTTAGCATAGAGTTTGTATGTCCATCATGTTATAGTGTGTATTTTTATGATCAAGTAACATCCTAGTGTATGGATAAATCACATTTTATTTATCCATTTGTCAATTGACGAGCATCTGGCTTTTGCCCACTTTTTGGTTGTGAACACATGGGTATACTTTTGCCTGGCCATATGTTCTTATATATCCTGGGTTTATACCTAGAATGGAATTGCAGGTCATGTAGCAATAGTTCAGTCTTCTGAGAGACTGCCAAGTGGTTGTGCAGAGAGCTGTGCCATTTTATATTGTCACCAGCAGTTGTGCAACCTCACTGGGAATGCTGTTATTCTTAGGCGTTTTATGTAGAGTTTCATCAGAAACAGGGGAGGTCTTCTGTTTCTGGTGGGTCTGTGGAGTGAGTTGTTAGGTTATATGATATTTTTGTTTCGCTTCGTTTATTCCTTTGTTTCTAGCTCCCATTTTAGTACTTAGAATAGACACTTGATAAATACTCATTGAAAGGGTGGCTCTTCTGTGACCTGAGTACACGTCAGGCAACTCGGGAACTCTCCCAGTCAAGATCTGCTGAAAAATAGTTCGTTTCCCTGATATCTCACAAAGCATAGCCATGGTACTGGTATTTGGGGTGATATCTCACGGAGTATAGCCATGGTACTGGTATTTGGGATGAAATCTCACCGAGAATAGCCATGGTACTGGTATTTGGGGTGATATCTCACGGAGCATAGCCATGGTACTGGTATTTGGGATGGGGCTGTGACTATTGACACAACATTCTTCCTTCTGCCTATGGGTTGGAGCACAATACTAATGTAAAAATAAGCAAGATAAAAGTGTCATATTAAGAATAAGCAATAGGTGAGTGAACCTTCTGCAATTAAGCACTCTTACTTAGTTAAGCACTCTTCTTGAGAAGAAGAGCTGCTTAAGAAATGATACTTCCGTGAGCCAAGAAGAAAAATCCTGTTGTTTGAAGTAACAACCCTCTGGTATGAATAGCCTGCCATTTACTAGCCTTTGGCACAAACTGCTTATTGAAGTCTAGTCATGACTGGATTATTGTGGCAGATCCTGAATTTGCAGTATCTTAATATTATTTAATGAAGCATTGAGCTATTATCCTTCAGAGAACTGAAGTATGTGTGTTCTGCGAGTTACCACAGGCGACAACAAAAGGCAGCATGGAGTTGAGTGCATTGTGTGTAAGTGTTCATTCAGACCTGCCCAGCTTGGAAATTATTTCTGTGAAGGGAAAGCAAATGGCACATGGTGGCTCAAGTGAGTCGTCCTCTCTGCTCAGCGTCCTCATGTGCCTTCAGATAAACCCGTGCGTCTGTCGGCACTTGTTTTTGTGCCTTGCAGTTAGGTAACTGTATTTGTAGATTGTTCATCCACTTCTCAGCCTCCCACCCACCCTGTGTGTGTGAAAAGTTCCTTGGGAGCCTGCGTGAGCCCAGTGCCATCCTAGACCCAGGGACTCATGCCTTAGCAGGTATACTCAGAACTGTGAGAAGCCCTGGGGGGAGGGCAGAGGGAAAGGGGGACTTAGTTTGGGGGAAATTAAGGAAGTCTTTGTGAGAGGTCACATTGGAATGGTCTTTTGAGAGGCTCAGGCCTGGGCACTCAGCACAGGGAGGAACTTTCCCGAGAAGAGCAGGAGCATGGGCAGCAGTGGCTTGGCCCTTCCTGGAAAGCCATGAGACTGTTCAAGAGTAACGTGGTTGCATGTGTCCCAAGCCCTCTGCCAATCATGTAGAGACTTTTATAATAAACACAGTATGTGTTTGTTGTAAAAACAGAGGTGCAAAAGGTCCCTATTTCCAAGAAACCTGTAGCAAAATATCTCAGTTTTAGAAAAACAGAGGGAGAGAAACTAGACACACAGAGATCAGCTCACAGATGTCACAGTAGTCCTAGACAGAAGAGAGGGGGCCTGAACTGTGGGGTAGGGGTGTGGAACACATTGATCACAGAACCATGGGAGAACGAGAGACAGAGAAAGACAAAAGGCCTGAAGCTCAGTGGTAAGCTGGGGAGAAGCCGAGACAGAAATGCAGTCTGGAGTCCAGTAAGCCATTTACTTCTCTTGAGAACAGTACAGGTGCGTGCAGAGTAGTGAATTGAATCTCGGAGCTGTCCCACAGCTACTGGTTGTTTAGAACTGACTTCAGACTCAGAGGCCAGGCCGAGGAGTACATGGGCAGTGAATCCTAAGGAGCTGTCCGGGGGCCGCGGGGACATGGAGTGTGGGTCTCCCAGGAGAGAGCCATGCAAGCACCTGTGCAGAGGGGTTGAGGGCGGGGAGGATCAGCTCCTCGCCACCGTTTCTCAGGCAGACCACAAGTCTGACGACAGGTGGGAGATTTAAAGAACATTGTGGACAATTAGTGTACATGACGCTTCCCAGAAGCCTAGAAGTGAAAAAGGAGTCAATCCAATGACTTGAGGGAGGTGATTTGCCAGTGGGCTGAGAGGATCACCATAGTAAAGGGGCAAGTGGAGAAAGGAATGGAATCCACTGATGGGTGGGGTTTGGTGAGGAGTCAGGTAGAAATTGGACCAGCAGCCCTAACCAGGGAGACGGCCACCAAGAGAGGTATAGCTCTTCAGAGCCACAGGGGAGAGAAGTCGGCACGTGTGGAAATAATCATGTCAAGGAGCGAGGATTGGCAAGTCCATGCTTGCTGGCCTGAGTTAGGGTCTGGGCACTTGGCCCTTTTTGGTGCCCTATGCACTCCCAGCAGCGTGCCGCATCCCCTCCTCCTAGCAATGGGCATTAGCAGTCCTGGAGCAGCCTCGCGGGACCTGCAGGTAGCACTGATGATGCCTGTGTTGGTGAACCAAGGACGCGTCCTTAGAATGCCCAGCATTGCAGTCAGTGAGCCTGTCTCCTCTTCCTGGGTAGTAAATACTAGCTGCTGGGTGGCCCCTTCAGTTCTCTTATGAAAGCAGTCTTTGAAGTGTCTACCCTGTGGTAGGTCCTAGAAATTCAAAGATTTTAAAGACAGTTCCTGCCTTTGAGGACCTGTCTTCACTGGGGAGCTCAGCAGCTCCTGGTGGCACGTTTTACTCCTCAGCTCATTTTCCACATTGATAGTGGATAAAGCTGAAGTTATGTATAAAGCATTTTAAACATCTTATTTTGAAAATAATTTAATTCAAAACTTTAAATGTTTAAAAAAAGAGAATCTTCTGTCAAGTTAGTGTGGACAGTGATCTGTCAGCAGTCAGCCTGTGTGCTGAATGGTGAGCTCTCCCGAGTCCTTGCCATGTGTGGCCATTCTTCCAGCCTGTCAGCCGCATGCACTGCCACGCAGATCCCCACCCACCTATGTGTAGTTGTGGCTTTTCTTTCTTATGACGAATGCATCAGGTTATCATATTGATTAACGTGCCCTTTTCATTTAAAGTAAGACTTAGGGCTGGGGACAAGCTCAGTTGGTAGAGTGCTTGCCTCGCACGCATAAGACCCTGGGTTCAATCCCAGGGTCCACACACAGAAAATCCCAGAACCACGCACAGAAAAAAAGATTTGGATGTCTTTTTCGATGGCACGCTTTTTCGATGAGGTCTACTGCGTCTTCACATACTCCATCGGGGGTGTGCCCCCACTGAGGTAATTTTCCCCTAGCTGCAGTGGTCAGGCTGCTTCTCGTTTTTCTCTTACCTTTTTCACAGTTGTGAATTCACAGCGTATTTCTTTGCAGTCTATTCCAGTGATGGACTTAGCTGGATCAAAAGGGGGGTGTGATGCCGCCAGTCACCCTCCAGGAAGGTGCACTCCCAGCAGAGTGCAGCATCCCCTCCTCCCAGCCGTGGGCATTAGCAGCCCTGGCAAATTTTAGTTATGCTCAGAGATGAGGGTCAGATTCCATGGTCGCTTGAGTTTACGTCTCTTCAGTAGAGCCTTTGAAGTACCTGTGCAGACTGAAGGCATTGAAATAGAGTTTGGGGGGCTGAGATTGTGGCTCAGCGGTAGAGTGCTCTAGCATGGGGGAGGCACTGGGTTCCATTCTCAGCACCACATAAAAATAAATAAACTAGAACTTAAAAAATATATATTTAATAAAAAATTTTTAAAAAAGAAAAGAGTTTTGAACAGCCTTTATAGCATAGGGAAAGATTTTTCTACTTAAGGTTAAATTTTTAGAACATGGGTTTTGTTTCTCCACTTAAGTCCCCTGAATTCTGAAAAATGTACTTTTATGTTGTCTCCTGCTCCTCTGCTTCCTCTTCCTTGCAAAGTGATTAAAAACTTCGTTGAGGAGCATAATTTTTAATTAAATATTTCTAATTAAAGAAATTATAGAGTGTGTATTTTAAAACCTCAAAGAAGTAAGTTCCTCAGCTTTCCTGGGGCATCTAGTATCTAGTTTGACTTTTTTCCCCTTGTAGTTGATGCCCATTTTTCCTTATTATTTTAAGACAGCCCTACGCCCGGGAAGCCCTCTCTGTTGGGTACTGAGTAATCTTACTTCACCTGCAGCCTTTTAAACCCAGATCTGTTTTCTTAGTGTGTCACCATCAATCTGAAGGGGTTTTGTTGTCATCCACCTTGTGCCAATTACGTTTTTCCCTAACATACTTTACTATCAAGTAGAGAGTGCCCACGTGCCTGCTGACCTGCAGCCTGAGCTGGAGGAGACAGGAGGAGGGCCGGAGGCATGCAGTCCTCCTCACTGTGCTCCCCTGGGGGTTCTGAAGAGGTGTCTGTCTCCCTCTTAAGTCAGCTGTACCAGAGCCACTCAAGCAGAAAGCGCTGAGCCACTGGGTAGAAGCCACATTCAGCAAACCGACTTTCAAAGGGAGGAAGTAGAACTTTCCTATGTAGAAATCTCCACACAGTCCCCGTCTGTGTCTGATCTCCTGCCATGGCTCATTCTAACACTCGCTTGTCTCTCCAGGCAGCCTAGACAGAACAAGTTTTTACAAGTGCACATCGCAAGCACATTGAGCAAAAACGAGAATTTATATGCTCTATCATGGAGGAAATAAGGTCATTCTTAAAAGAGTAGTAATTTCCCACAATTTACTTGAAAAGTCTTTTTCTTCCCAAATTAGTGTTCTCTGTGTCCCACTTTGTCTCAGTGGCTCCATAGCTGTTCAGGATCCCTGTTAGCTTTGAAGCTCAGAGTTTATAGCTGTTAAAGGAAAGAACAAAAATGAGATGAGCGGGCTGAGGAATTTGCTGAGGCTGACAGTGCACCCGCACGCTGGGGGGACCCCCAGCACGTCTTTTAGTTTTTTTTTTTAAAAAAAAAAAAAAAAGGCTGCATTAAATCTTAATTTTGTTCTGTTAGTCATGTGGAAACTTGTCATTTAGAACACTTAGTGGACAAGTTTCCTGAACAGAACTTTATAAATCAAGTATGGTCTGACAGTACTGGGAAGGAGAGGTCCTGCCATTGGAACCTGCTTTTAGAATCTGGATCCTTGCATGGCCTGGGGCGAGTCATTTCACATTTTACCTCCCTTTTTCCATCTATAAAGGATAAATACTTCTGTCTCAGGGATGTTGAAAGGATTAATTAGTTTGTCTGTAAAGAACTTTGAAGATGAAAAGTGCTTTAAAAGTGCTTCTTAATAACATTATTGCTTAGAAAAGAGTGCCACTTTTATGCTAACCACTTTATGTCTCAAATTACATAAAGAAGGTGTGTGTTTAGTACATTACTCGTAGTTATAAACTAGAAATAAATTTCTCATGGTGTGAACATCAAACATCAGTTTCAGAATTTCAAAGGAGCGTTGCTTTGTCCCATGGATCCTCTAGGAGCTGTGTTCTACTCAGTTACTAGTTAGGAAAGTCATATTTCAGGGAAAAGACAACCATTTCACACAAATCAGCCCTTTTTTAAATTCCATCAAGTTTTTTAGTGTTTATTCCCGACACTGAAAGGGCTCATTCAGCTTGGATTGGCACAAGGGGGGGGGGGGGTTAGGGACGAAGGGGAAGTGTTTGAAGAGGAGATAGAAAAGAAAATTACATTCTTCCCCTTTTTCTTTCCTGTCCTCTCCCAGTCTCATCACAGGGATGGGCATGTGTCGCTTTAGCTAGTCTAGAAGAATCAGCTGTCTAATTGTTAGGCTTCATTCAGGTTTCTTCTCCTCTCAAGGAAGTTAACAAAAAGGCCAAAGTTCTGATTCATAATTAAGCATTATTATAGCAGCATGCAATGGCATATGGTATAACTGGTTTGACATTCAAATTTAACATCTTTATTAGAAAGTGCAGTCCTCCTCAGTTACTCTAGTGATCATGAACTGAAGGGCACAACAGACAGTTACAGGCATGGGTTGTCTGAAGTGGCCCAGAAGAGTCTGGAAAACATGACCAAGAAATGAAGTGTTATTTAACTCTAGGATAAAGTATGTCGGGAAGAATAATTCAAATTAAAACAACTGAAAGGAAAGACACTAGAGAGCCAGCAGCGAACACAACAGGATCAGGTAGCTCCTGTCTGAGCTGCTCTCCATATGAGACGATGACTTGTCAGGGCTGAGTGAAGGGGAAATCAGAAGGACCATAGCTCTTCACGTCGGCTTGACCTGGAAGTCTAATATTGCATTCATTCCATTGTAGAAAGCTGGCAAGTTGCCAGAATACTCAAATACCTCCATTGTGCATGGCCTAAGTAAAAATGCTTGGAATCAGCATGCCACCAACCATTACAGTAAGTTACAGGCTTCAGAAATAGATTTCTCCTTGCATTTATTTGGCCTCACAAATATGTTTTAGTAAGATAAGTAGCAATCATTGAAATCTTTGGTACTGCCACTTAAAATTTTTTGGAGTCTGGGCTGGAGAAGCAGGAGGGGCCAGAAGGCGAGTGGTCCTCCTCACTATGCTCCCCCCGGAGGTTTCTGCAGAGGTGTTTTTTTCCCTCTTAAGTCAGCTCTCACCAGAGCCACTCAAGCAGAAAGCGCAAAAGCGCTAAACCGCTGGGTAACAGCCACGTTCAGCAAGCCGACTTTCAAAGGGAGGGAAGTAGAAGTTCCTAGGGTGTATTTTTTGTTAGTCTCCTTAAAAGTCTTTTCCTCATGAGCTCGGTCTTAATTAACACTTGATTCAAATGGAACATAATGCTAATTAATATGTCATTCTTTTAAACTTCCTATAGCAAAACCCTTGAAGATCGTTTGAAACTCGAAGCCAAAAATGGGACATTGAATGTATCAGACACCACTGTTGGCAGCAAACAGTTGACATTCACATTAAAGAGGGTGAGTTTTGAGTTTTGTGATCATTTTTGTTTGTTTGTTTATTTTTAATTTACAAAGGAAAAACAGCCTCCAGTAGTGTCCTGTGTGCTCTGTCCTCAGGCCTGCCTTCCCAGGCTTTCCCCAAGGAGGAAGTTATATTTTGCCTTTTCTAGAATTTTCCCTACAGCCAGAGCCCCTGCTGGTCGCCAGCCAGGAGAAGCAGTGCTGGGAAGGTGGCCTGAGGCAAGCAGGCCTTAGTGACCCAGAGTTGGCTGTGGTGGTGCTGAGCCAGCCATCTTGTGTTCCCGGTAACTGCCTGGCCTGAGGTGTGTCCTTATAAAGCAGAAGTCCTAACCGCGTAAGGGTATGAACTACCTGACACTCTGGTGAACTTCAGAGAAGACCAGGAAGCAGCTAGTTCTGACCCATTTGCTCACTAGGGCACCCTGGCTTCCCAAGGTGAGTTCTTGCCACTGGTGATCCTGTTCTGGGTCGGTTTTAGATGGAGGTCTTTAACCGGCTGTAGGAAGGCCTGTTACGAACTGTGGGAGGAATAAGCTTCTCAGATACTTTTCTGTTATCTGATGGGTAAAATGACATGGTTTTATTTCTCTGAAAAATTTTCTCATTCATACTCTGTCCTAAATATATGCACCAAGTAGAGAAGAATGAGTTTCTACCTCTCTTTAAAATACAATTTATATACCAAAGACACTCTTTTAAAGGTCACTAATTTTTAATAGACTCATTACATTGTGTAACCATCACACTGATTCTAGACAATGTTCATGACCTGAACAAGAAACCAGGTACTCTTTAGCAGCAGCCCCATACTCCCATCCCACCAACCCCTGGTTGTGACTGCTGATCTACTTCCTGTCTCTATAGAGTTTCCTGTTCTGGACACTTCACATAAATAAAATCATACAGTGTTTTCTTTTCTTTTTTTTTGTGCCGGGGATTGAACGCAGGGGCACTCGACCACTGAGCCACATCCCAGCCCTATTTTGTATTTTATTTAGAGACAGGGTCTCTAAATTTAATTAATTTATTTATTTATTAAATTTTATTTAGAGACAGTTGCTTAGCGCCTCACTTTTGCTGAAGCTGGCTTTGAACTCACTATCCTTCTGTCTCAGCTGCCCGAGGCACTGGGGTTACAGGCACGGCTCGGCTATACAGTGTTTTCTTTTGCAGTTGGCTTCTTGTTTTCAAGGTCTATTCGTGGTGTGTCATGAGTCAGAACTTCTATCCTTTTTGTGGTTGAGTAATACTCCATTGTAATGTTTATGCCACATTTTGCTTTTCTGTTCATCCATTGACACACACTTGGGATGTTTCCCCTTTTTTGCTATCACGAATAATGCTGCTATGAAAATTCTGTGTATGTTTTTAGATGAACATTTTTCATTCTCTCGGATACATATCTAAGAGTAAAATGGCTGGTTCATGTGGTTAACTATTTAACTTTTTGAGAAACAGGGGCTGGGGATGTGGCTCGAGCGGTAGCGCCCTCGCCTGGCTTGCGTGCGGCCCTGGGTTCGATCCTCAGCACCACATACAAACAAAGATGTTGTGTCCGCTGAAAACTAAAAAATAAATATTAAAAAATTCTCTCTCTCTCTCTCTCTCTCTCTCTCTTTCTAAAATAAAAAAAAAAAAAAAGAGAGAAACAGACTTTTTCCCAAATCCTCACCAGTACTTGTTATTGTCTTATCTTTTCTAATAGCCATTCCACAGGGCAAGTGGCATCCCGCTATGGTTTTGTTTTGCAGTTCCCTAATGACTCAGAATTTTGAGTGTCTTGTCTCACGTTCAGCAGCCATTTGTACGTCTCCCTGTCCTTCATCCATTCATCTATGGAGCTTTCCCTGCCTGCAGCCAGAAGGCTGGCCAAGTGATAAAAGCTTTTTCTTCTCAGTCAAGAACCTCTTCAGTTTACTCGTATATTTATCCCTGAAGCCAGAACTGCATTCAGAGTGACTCTTGGTGCCTGTTCCAAGTTTCATGTAAACTCTCTCAGTGCCATTGAACATTCCTGATTCCCTTTTCGGTTCAGCCAAGTCGAGTGGGAGTGCACAGGAGAAGCACTGCAGCCCTGCTGGGCTGTGCTGAGGGAGGGACAGCTGCTTTCAGGAGGGAGGAGACTAAGCCTCTCCTCCTGTTTTTAAATTGGAAGGTACTGGGGTGATTGTCACTTTTAAAATAAGATGGCTCTTAAATTATATAGAAGAAATCCTAAGAATTTCTTAAAATGACCTCCGAGTTGGATTGATTGCACAGCAGGAAGGTAGTCAGGATCGGAAGAAGAGAGAGCAGCTAGGTAGGTGTGCAGGTTTCCCATGACTGCGGGACGGCCTTTTCCCCTGCACTCTCAATGCAGCAGAGCCTCCTCAGGCAGAGACACACACTTCCACCAGCTGCCTGGGTTAGCTGGGCTCCCATGCAGGGTCTGTGTCATCTGAGCCGTCAAATATGAGGCAGCTCTGGGACTGAGCCCAGGGCCTCGCGCATGCAAGCTACGTCCTCTGTTCCTGAACTGCATCCCCAGCCCCATCAAATGTGAGGCTGTGGGGCTGGGCTGGGGCTCAGCGGTGGAGCGTTCATCTAGCCCATGCGCGGCCCTGGGTTCGATCCTCAGCACCACATATAAATAAATAAATAAAATAAAGGTATTGTATCCATCCAACTCAACTAAAAAATAAATATTTAAAAAGAAAAGATGTGGGGCTATGTATGAGCTCATTGCTCTAACTTCTAGCAGAAGGCTTCTGGGAGAGGAGGCCTGTGAGAAGCAAAGTACCTTCTTCTAATAGCTCTTGGGGCCTTTTTAAAGCACACCAAGAATGTTCATGTGGGTTCATCAGATTAGTGTGATGGGGCACTTCTCTTGCCTGGCATTTAGAATTTCTGCTTTCAAAGTGACACTGGAAGATGGTTGGCTGCAGTGTGCAAGGCCCTGGGTTCATTCCCCAGCACATGCCCCCCAGGCCCCACCCCCAGCAAAAAAAAAAAAAAAAAAAAACATAGTGAGAAGTTGGACTTTGTCCTGCCATTCCTGTCTGCAAAGTCAGCTCCAGCACTTGTTGGAACCAGGTCCAGCAGCCACACCAAGTGGCTGGGCAGCCTTAGCTGGGAGGCAGGCCCTTGCCCTGGGGTTCTGCTGTTGCATTCTGAGGTCACAGAAGAGGCACTGGCCTTTTTTGTTTTTTTCTCCACTCATCTTATTTTCTCCATTTAGTCAGAACAGCAGAAGAAGCAGCAGGAGGCTGAGAAGCTGCATCGACTAGAGAGGAAGAAACTCCGTCGTTCTGCCGGTCACTTGCGGTCCAAACCCAGAAGAGGTCGGTCGCGGCATTGAGCGTGGAAATGGCCTGCATGTGATTCGGAGGGTCTTCCTAACTGATCCTCTTGAGGACATGAAGTCAGATGAGGGAGTGCAAGTGCTCAAGCCGCACATCAGGGCTGGTGTGCGCTGGTCAAAGTTTGATGCCAGGTCTGCCATTCCGCCACTCAGTAGCCCCCAGGGTGCTTTTTCTAAGTTGTCACTCCTTATAATATTGTTCTTTTCACGCTTAATCAAGTAAACCAGGTGGTTGTTTTTAATGTTTTTAAAGGTGTGCCATGAAATGAACAGTTTTCCTATGTAGAAAAAAAGATTTATCATGTTCTAGGGGTTTTTTCCTCATCCTGTCTACTGCCATTCTCCAGTTAGCCACCTGGAAAGACTGTCCCCATGTTACCTGGTGCCTGTGTATTGACCCTGTTTGAGTTGATAGGTTGGTATTGACAGGTCATTTTCTGGCTTATATATTAGTTTGGGATATTTTAAAACTATTTTTATACCAACAGCATAAATTAATTTTAATAATAATAAAAAAGAAATGGAAGCTACTGGTTATTCTTTTTTTTTTTTTTACTGGTTATTCTTTTAACTTGATACAAGATTGAGTAGGTTCCCCCGCCCCACCCCACGCCCCCATACAATTAGAGATAAGCTTGCTGGAGGAAACATGTCAAAAAATAAGCATATCTGAAATCCCAGCAGCTCAGGAGGCCGAGGCAAGAGGATTGCAAGTTCGAAGCCAGCCTGGGAGACTTAGTAAGACCCTGTCTCAAAATAAAAAAGAAAAAGGAGACTGTGGCATAGCTCAACAGTAGAGTGCTTACCCAGCGTGCTTGAGGCCCTGGGTTTCATCCCCAGCACCCCAAAAACAAGTAAATAAAAAGGGCTAAGGACGTCTCTTGGTAGTAGAGAATCCCTGGGGTCAATCCTCAGAACCAGAATAAAATATTTTCATTCAGATAGCTTCTTTTAGAAAAAGACCCATTCCTTAAATTAATTTGAAACTAACTTTGGTTCTGTAGTTCTTCACATGTTGTGGTCTTAAAGATGTTTTATGGAGGTTTTGTTTTTGTTCTTATGTACAAGCAAAATTGTGTGAGTTTTTGGACTATCGTGGATAGAGTTCTCCTTGAAATGGCGCGGGCCACGAGGGCAGGGTTCGTGCCTGTCCCCATGCTCTGGGACGCGTGGCTTCAGGAGCCCCTCGGGCAGGCTGTAGGACTCAGTCGGCCCTCTCCCCGTCTTTCCTTCCTCGTGAGTCAGTATGGTTCTCTGCTGTTTAGGTGTCCCCTTCTATTTCCTCCACGTCATCTCTGCTGCTGCATGCAGGCTCCCCAGGCAGAGGACATGTGGGTCACATGTCCATTTCTATGGCCTGTGAAGTGCTGTCTGGCACAGTGGGAGTGTGGACAGGCGCAGTCACCAGACCACCCGCCCAAGCTGCAGTTCTGGAGTCCTCTGGCTATTTCAGTCCCTGCGGCCACTGCTTTCCTGTCCATCATCTTCCCCTGGAGCTCCTATCCACGATCCACCCCAGAGGACAGGACCTCGGCCTCCAGTTCTCCTCAGTTTCCCGCACAGCTTCCTCCAGGGATGGGAGCTTAGAAGACCTTGGAGAGGGAGACGCAGGGTGGGATGGTGCTGCAGGTTCAGTTCCCGAGCCCAGGCTCTTCCCAGGCCCTCTTCCCTCCTTCCTTGGAGACCTCCTTGTTCTCTGGTGACAGGTCCAGGAGCTGTGCTACACTTAGCAGAAGGCATGCGTCCACTCCGTTCAAGAGGCTCCTGTGAATCAGGGACAGACCAGCAGCAGAGTTCAGGGACTGATTCTGGACCTGGAGGCTGGTGACATGGGCAAGGCTGGGATTTGGCCCCACTGACCAGGGTTGAACCAGCTTTGTTAAGGATGCTCTTTCAGTCACCTCTGCACATGTGAAGGCCCCCTGACCCCAGAGGAGATGAGGCTAGAGGCCTTCCTGCCGCAGAGGGACCACCCTGTACAGCCCAGGGTGCTCCAGCCCCAGAAGCACCTCCCACACCTCCACCTACCTCAGGCCACACATGCACCTCTAAGCCCAACTGTCTTTTTTTAAAAAAAATATTTTTTAGTTGTAGTTGGACTCAGTATCTTTATTTATTTGTTTTTATATGGTGCTGAGAATCGAACCCAGGGCTTCGCACGTGCTGGGCGAGCGCTCTGCCCCTGAGCCGCAACCCAGCCCCCAATGGTCTTTAAAACCTGGGTTTTCGAGAGCAGAAGTTCCTCTCTGCTCTGGTTCTGGGGAATCCCTGAAGGGCAGCTGGAGGGACTGAGCCGAGTCTATGGTGGACAATCGAGAACTTGCTGACCAGCAGTCCCATAAATACGCCTTCCAGGCCCCACTGCTCCCGCTTATTGCCCTGATTTTTCTACCTATTGATCCCTTAAAACAGACCTCCTCCTCAGGATGATCCCTGCAGTGGCTGGCAATCCACAGGCCTTTGATGTTTCCTGTTCTAAAATGTTTAGGCACATTTTGTACCCTGCTCCATCATTTTTCTATGCCTGTGATACCTTAGTTGCCAGCCTCAGAAAATGGCCTTGTTTCTCCTGGGTCTCTACCAGCAAGGTGCCCCCAGGGGTGTTCATGAAGCAGCAGGGGAAGCTCGGCCTTAAACCTGGGGGCGCAGGGGCTGGGTTCCTGTGTTAGCACCGTGCTGGGGTTCTAAGTGGCACTCTTTTTTCTGCCTCAGAGGCATGACTGACTGACGCCACACACCTGGAACCTGAGTCTCTTTATTTACCCCAGTTGTTGACTTTGGGAGAGGGGAAGATGGTGGAAAGGGCGTGGCGGGACATGAGGACCCAGGTTAGTTGGCGGTCTCAGACCCTCGAGGTCTGCTCTGGACTCGCAGGCCTTTCTCTGCAACGTGCACCTTGTACTTAAATTAGAAAGTGTCATTGAAAACGAATTATTTTTATCAAAGTGACATGTACCCATCACAAATTCATCCCCCTCCCCAGAGGTAACTTGTAACATGGTAATAAGATACATTCTGTAGACAACAGGACACACATCTGTTTTGATAATGTACATGGTGTCACCTTATGAGTGCTGTTCTGCAACTTGATTTTGTAACTAATGTACATTTTCCCAAGTTGGAACCTATATTGGGAAACCTGCCTCAATCTTCTCTATGAGCTTCAGGGTGTTTCACTATATGACTGAACTGTAATTTAACTCTGCCTGCTTATGATTCACCCTAAAAAATGTGAAGAAAAGACCTTTTAAAAATCCCTTGTATAATGAGTAAAACTTATTTTTTTTTTAAATGAACATAGTAACTTTAGAAAACATCAGTATGTGGTAAAACAATGAAAATGTCATTTCAGTTTTCATTTTCTTTCCCCTTTGTACGTGAGATTTTAGAGAGAATTTCCGTTATTTGGCTTCTTTTTCATCCATCATTTGTTATAAGAGCAGAAACAGAATTTTGTAACATACTTGAGCTAATCTTAATAACATCTAAATAGCATTTATGGGGTGTTTTGTTTAGCCTGCAGTAAATTTATTGAGGTTCCTAAGACAGTTGTCTGGGTTTCCCCGTCTCTTGTGAATGGCCCACAGCATTTATTCTCGAGGCCCAGAGAAGAATGGGCCACGGGGGGTGCAGTATAGGAAGGCCCAGTGGAGTGGAGGCAGCCTGGCTGGGGGAGCCGGTGCAGGCCCTGTGGGGAGTGGGGGTGGCATTCCAGGATTTGCTGTGGCATGAATGTGGAGGATGCAGGAAGGAAGAAGAGTCAGGCGTGACTGCATGGCCTTAACAGGGACAGGGAGCTGCCCTTGACAACCTGGGAAGCCCTGGCAGAAGCAGGCTTCGGGGGTTGGGGGTAAGGAGGGATTCTCAGTAGAGATTGAGTCAGAGCGTGTCTGTCTTTCCAGAATTCCCCAGGGTACAGCAGAATCCAGCCCCTTACTGGGCTCTCCTCTGCCTGCTGGCAGTCAGGGTCCTGACCTTGCTATTTCTAGAACATTCTGAGCATTAAGCCAGAGCCTTTGTGGTTACAATTCCCTCTGCCTGGAGTGCTCTTCCTCCCCATCTGTCTCGTGTGGCTCTCTGACCCGCCTCAGGCCAGGACCACCCTGTTTTAGTGGCCACACCACACTGCCAGCATGCACCATTGCCTGGATTGCAAATGATGCCTGACATAACAGTGCTTTAAAAAAAAAAAAAAAAAAAACTTTCTATGGAGAATGTCAAACACATACCCAAGGTAGAGAAGAGTTTAATGGCTTCCCTGTCCCCGGCGCCAGTGTCAGTAGTTCACGGCTGATCTATTTCCTCTTTATTCCCCCCACTGCCCATCACTTTGACTTAGTTGGTCTCAGACATCAATGGTCTCGCCATGAGTATTACAGAGGTCTCTTGTTTCTCTTTGGATCCTCTGCAAGGGTGGGGAGGGATTTGGGGTCTGTTCTAATCAGTGTTGGATATCTGATGTCTAAAACAATGCCTGGCACCTAGTAGCTCCTTAGTGAATATTTACTAAGTGAATAACTCAGGTAAGTTAAAAGAGGACTAAGGATTGAATTGGTCCTTAGGGGATTTAATACCAGAGAGGTATTAAATTTTATTCCAAAGAGTCAATTCTCACTTGAGAGCTGTTTCAGAGAGGCTGGAGTGCTGGAGAGCCTAAATTGACATAGTTAAGGGATGGGGGGAAAGGAACCAGAAATGATCAAGAGGAGTTTTAGATACATGGGGACAGGAAATGGGACTTGAGGTCCAGAGAGCATTTTTAAGATGAGAGAAAGTCCAGCATGCTCATGTCCACTGGGAATGATCCAGGGAAGGAGAAGGTGAAGAAGGTGAGGACAGTTCCTTTAGTGACATCCACAAATGGTTATATATCCTGCATAACCAATCAACCCAGAACATAGTGGCTTCAGATTGCAGTGACAGGGTCAGTGGGTCAGGAGCTGAGGAGCAGCTTAGCTGGAAGGTATTTTTTATTCTTCCCTGTTCTAAATCCTTTGCCCCCTTCCCCACCACCAAGTTCACCCATTAAATTGATTTCACATCCCACAGATGGCTTTAAAGGCTGGGATGTAGCTCCATGGCAAAATGCTCCCCTCACCTACAGGAAGCCCTGGGTTCAATCCCCAGTTCCAAAAGAGAATAGCTAAAAAGGAGACCCCAGTCACAAATGGCTCCAAACCCACGTGGAGGATCACTGCTTACTACCCGAATAGACTGATTGTAACTCTTGGACTCCATTTCTGCTTACGCTCCCCAGGTGACCAGAGACCTCCACGGGAACTCTCCTCATGCCTCATCTCCCTTCCTCCCACCCCTCAGGGTTCCACGGACACGTTTGCTCCCGGTGGCCGCTCCATCCCTGTTGGTAGCCCACCTTGGGTCCCCAGGCGTCCACTCCAGCTCTCGGAGCAGGGTTGCCTGGCCGCCTCCTCCACAGCACTGGCCTCTTGTCTGCTCGCTTGTCTGTCCTCGGTTCCCCGTCCGGCGCCTGTGGCTCCTCACTCCCCCAGGCGGTCATGCTCCAGGATTTCTTCCTTAGGCCTTTCATCCTCCTGGAGTCGCCTCTCCAGAGTTCCACCTACCAAATGTGGCCGGTGGCATCTCCATCTCAGTGACCTCAGAACAAGTCTTCCTGCCACTCACCTTCCAGACTCATTGTCTTCCTGGCCCCCAGTGACCTGAGGCAGAAGGCACGGTTCATTCAGGCGCTGTCGGGGGGCTGAGCAGAGGGCCCTGCTCTCCTGGAGCTTCCCTCTGCACAGGGAGACAGACGTGTCCTGTCGTCACAGGGCCGATGGGTGCTGCGGGTGAGGAGAGCTGCCACGGGCCTGAATGAATCGTGCTGGCACCAGGATGGGCTGGAGGCAAAACGTGGTGGCCACAAGGCCAAGGAGAATGTTCTAGGCAGAAAACTAGAGCTGCTCAGAAGGCCTCAAGGGCTTGTGGAACATGGTTCTGGCTCAGTGGGTCTGAGGTGGGTCTGGAGAATGAGAATGTCTAACGTCACGCACAGTACGGCTGGCCCGGGTTCCCCTCCTGAGGGCCATGAGGCTGCAGCAGAGGCCCAAGACGAGGTGTACCTATGCTAAGGAATGGGCTTTGGCCACTCTGGGTGGCACCGGTGGAGGAGTCCTAGGAGGGGCAGGTGCAGCTGGGTTTCAGTTTCTTATCCCATGAAATACAAGGTACGTGCTGGCCTCCTGGGCCTCTGCGGGGCTCTGCAGTCTTGGTCCTGCCACCCTGCGCGCTGGGTTCTCTGCACAGATCGTCCACCTCAGCGCTTCCCACCGCTGCCACCTCTGCTCCCTCCACAGCTCTTGACCCAGCAGCCTTCGCACACAGATGACCGCACAGTCTGGGATCCCCAGCCGTGGCTGATCCCCAACCCTGGGAAACGCTAATCCTTTAATGATGGAGGACTTTCAAAATTCAGGATGGAGTCTGATTCGTAAAAACAGAAGGAAACAGAGGAGACCTAGGTCCGGCCTGGACTTGCTCATGGCTGATCTGCCAGTTAGTGGCAAAGTCACTTAACTCACCCGTTCCTTGGTGTCTGCATCTGTAAAATAGGTTTAATAGTATCTGTCCCCTAAGGACTTCAGAGGATGTTTGTGAGCTTAATGAGTGAGGCCCATTAAGCTCAGAAGAAAGGTGTAGCTAAATACAAAGCTCTGTTATAATTAGCTCTCAGGTTCTCCAAGCCAGGTCACATCTTGTTTTAAGAGGGTTACCATGACGACACGTTTGTTTGAAAAACGCATGTTTAAAAGGCATGGCCATAAATCTCGCCATAATAGGTGAATTTCACTGGTTTCTCCTAATTGGGAGCCACATCGTCCCTTACTAGTTGTCACATGGCGAAAGCTAGCTGTTGCTGCTGGCTGCTAACTTCTGTCTCTGCACCCTGCAGGGGCAGGACCTGTGGTCACCCTCCTGAGCACATTGTAATTGTGAATTTACTCTGTAGGCTCAGGGTGACTCTGGGCTGCATGGCATGAAGGCAGTCCTGGTACTGATGCTGACTGTGCTCCAAAGAACCAACAGGAGACATAGGTATAGGAAGAAATTTATTGTAAGGAACGAACTCAAAATTATGGAGGCTGAGAAGTCCCAAGACACAAGCTGGAGACCCAGCAGAGCCAACAGGTAGGTTCTGCTCCTACCACACCAGGCTCAAGACCTAACGTCTCAGACCAAATCTGAAGGTAGGAAAAGGCCAGTGTCAGGCAGAGACAGCAGACTCCCCCTTACTCTACCTCACCTTCTGTTCAGACCCCCGAGGAGTTAGGTAAGACCTGCACTGGGAGGAGCTCTCTGCTTTGCTCAGTCTGTGGACATGACCTAGTCAAGCTGGCCCAGAATTAACCATCCCACCAACATGTACTATACCCCGATGATGCGACTTGAGAAGCTGGTCCTAAATGCTGTGTTATCTCATCTGATTCTTAGGTTTGGATTGAGCTCCTCTGGTTGCTAGCTCATTGACCCAAGGCACAGTTCTTCCCCCCTGGGTCTCAGTCTCCTCATCTGTAGGATGGGAGTGATAATAGTCCCTACCCCACAGATAACGTCAACAACAGGACCCCCACACAAGGCATCCAAGTCTGGTGAACCTCGTTATCCTCGTTTCACAGGTAGGACTCAGAGCCCCGCCCAAGGTCCATGGCTCCTTCACAAACCTTGATCCATGGGTCCTGTTGTCCTGCCACCAGGTGGCAGATGCCCTGGGCCCAGTGGTGCTGGGTGAGTGCCTGTCTCAGTACTTAGGGCTGACATCCCTGCCCAGTCATTGTGACAGTGCTCACAGGCACCCCAGCAGAAGGAGGAGCATGAGCACCCACATTTAGTGGTATTCATGGAATCATGAGCTCAAGGAAGTCGGGGAAAATCCAGGTGGAGAGGAAGCTGCTGTAGCTGTTCCCAGCAAGGGAGCCCTCCGGCCACCTTCAGTGGCAGCCATGAGGAGTTGCCCCTCTGTATCCGTTTGAGAAGGTGGGTTGGAGCAGACTTAGGAGACTCAGGCTTTGCACCATTAACTCAAGGGGAGGGTGCTGGAGGACTGAGGGGAAGGTCCAGGATAACAGGGCGAGTCAGCTGGGTGCTAAGCTCAAATCTGGTTTCATGGGCCCTGACGCCCACCTATGATGGGGGTATGCCAAAGAAGCCCAGGGCCGAGGGGTGAAGATCTGCATGGTGGGAGGCAGAGCCAGAATTTGAAGGCAGTGAGGCCAACCAGAAGTCCTCGAATATTGGGCCTCGCAGTGGCAGCTGGGGACCAAAGGGATTTGGGCCACCTCATCAAGAGGAGCTGAGCTGGAAGGAGAGCTGGACGGGCGACAAGGGACTGGGGTCTCAGGCCAGGGACTTCTTCGCAGATGAGAAGAAACCTCAGCGTGAGACGCACAGGCACAAGCGCGACACGCGCCCCGGCCGGCCTGCCCGCCACCAGCCCTGGGCACAGCGAGCTGGGAGCCGCCTCCACCCCTCCTCCTGGTTAATTACGGCGCCTGCTGGCAGGCCTGCTGAGGGGCAGCTCCCACTAATGGTGCGTTATTCCAGACCTGGGGGCTTCTCTTCACCCATGAGAGGGACCAGGAGAAGCTTTGAGGAGTCATTTAAGACATTTCTGCTGGAGAATAATTATTTTCCCTCGGGCTTGGCCTAGCAAACAGGGTCATCACCTTTCATGTAGTGGAGGGAAGCTGCTCAGGGAAGGCAGCTGCTGCTGGGGACAGGGGGCAGGCACGTGGCGCTGCTTGAGAACGTGGGCCGGCCCTCCCATCTCGCCTCAAATTAGTCACTCCTGCCCTAGCAGGACCAGGAGGTCCTGAGTCCCAGCCCCAGTGGCCCTGCAGGTCTTAGTGAATGTCTCCAAACGTGTGGGAGAGGGCTCCAGTCTGGTTCCCAGCAGCCACAGAAACCCTGTGGCCCACAGACCTCTGCCCACCACCAGGGTCCCCACCTCAGGCTCCTGGAAGCCTGGTGACCACGGAGGCCCAGACACCACACAGCTCAGGTGAGATGAACAGCCCTGAAGCCATTTGCCTCTGAGAGTATCTGAAACGTGCCAACGTTACCATCTCTGGTTTCTTTGTCAAGTGGACGTCATTGTTCTACCTTCAAACGGTTCAGGGGCACTGGATGAGATAAAGTGGGTGAAGGGCCTGGTGGTGCTGGCACGGGTGTTCTCTGGCTGGGTGCTCACCTGCCGCTCTGCCCAGCCTCGCCAATGCTTTGGTCCAGGGCAGACCCAGCTTAACCGTAGCTGTGAGGACAGCAGGAATGTGTTCTAGTGGATTCTGTCCACAAGGACAGTCATCAAACTGTGACGAGATGCTACCACAGTGGAGACTGCTTCCAACAAGGTCCCAGGCCCTATGTCAGGGAGCAGGCTCCACACGTGAGTGGCAAGGTCCTGCTACTGTAGAAACCAGGTGGCTGGGAGTTTCTTCCTCCAGCTCCCCCGGGTTGCGCTGAATTAGATCAGGATAGCTCCTGGCCTCATTGTGTCCTCCCTCTGGACAAAGCCTGTCCACAGACCTGGGTAACTCAGCCCAGGAGCTGTCCCTTTTGTCTGATTGAGTTGTCAACATTGAAAGTCGAGGTATGTCACAGGAAAGTCCAGCTAGACACTATGAGGAGATGCAAGGGCAGAGGGTGGGAGACTACGTCACCCTTAAGAAGCTTCCAGAGAAAGGACACAAGAGACCACCTCAGCCTTGTGGAGCCTAAGAAGACTTGGTGGGATGTGGTACCCTGCAGCGGACCTTGGGACAGAAAAAGAACTTTGGGTAAAACCTAAGGAAATCAGAGCAAACTATAGACTTAATGTACAGCACCAATACCGGCTTATTAATGGTAACGAATGTTCCATATCAAGGTGGGATGTTGAAACGGGGGAAGCTGGGTGTGAAGTGCACACGGAAACTGTGCCATCATCTCAATCTGTCTGTAAATCTTAAACTGTTGGAGCAAATTAAAGTCCACTTAAAAAAATAAAGACATGCATAGGCAAACAGTGAGATGTTTGTTGTGGGACAGGAAGCCCACAGCTTGGTCTCAGCATGACTCAGGCCTGGACCCCAAATGTGCACACCCAGGGACCCCAGAGGGAGGGCCCAGCTGGCCTTCCCAGCCCCAGGGGGGACAAAGGAGATGAGTGGATATTTCAGGACAGAAGAATCAAGTGTCCCATCTGTAAATGGTCCTCATCCTTCCTGCCAGGTCCCTGGTCAGTCAGCTCTGTGGCATCTGTGGCCTTGGAAATGCCACTAAAAAAAGGGGACAAGAGAGAATTGGGTAGCGAGAAGGGTCGACGGGCTGAAAGTGGGGAGGCTGGGCTGTGGCTGTGGTTCCGGGAGTCCGGGTGAGAGGGCTGCCATGGAGAGACACCCAGCCCGAGCCAGCGCTGCGGGTGACCCCTGTGGCCTCCCGGCCTCCTGTTTTGACTGCTGTTCATCATGAGGTCAGCGCCCGATCGCAGCTCCGAGATCACGCGCCTGCTTCCTGTGAGAGCACTTGAGGCCGTGGGCCCGGGCCCGGGGCAGCCTGTCCTTCCTGGACGTGCGTTTGTGGAGGTGCTCAGGAGCATGGCTTTTGGAAACGTCTTAAGATAGGAAGCAGAGTCGTCCCCGCTGAGCAGCACCTAGGTGACAGGGGAGGCTAAAATATCAGATCATTTCCTCCCAGGCTGCCAAGTTTGGAAGTCCTGCCTGGACTCCCACATCCTGCAGATGACTCATCCCGAGTTTTCCTCCCTACACTAATGTGGTTTCCATGCGTGAAGCCAGCCTTGGGGAGACCGCAGGCGCGGGGGAGCCGGGCTGCGTCTCTGATTCCTGCTCCAGCGCCTGGCGGGCCAGCCGCATGCCCAGCCCTTCATGTTGCCCTGCATGCGCTTAGTGAAAAGCCACTCATGTGACAAGAAAAATAGCCTGTCCCTTCCTGGGGGGCCGAGGGTGTCGCTGTTATTTTAGCCATTTTTAAGTGCAATCTGTCAATGAGCATGGAACATTCATAGTGTTGTGCCTCTGTCACCACCGTCTACCACAAAGCGTTTCCATCTTCCCAGCTGGAACTGCACCCATTCAACACTGATTTCCTATTCCCTCCTCCCAGTGTGGCAGCCGCCACCCCACCCCCCTGCCACCCCTGAGTTTGCCTGGTGTAAGCACATCAGGAAGTGCCGCTGCACAGCTGGGTCCTTTATCATCTGGCTAATTTCTCCTGACCTTGTCCTCAAGGTTCACCTGCGTGGCAGCCTGGGCTAGAATTTTGGGGAACAGCTGAACCCTTGGCCACAGTAGCTGCACCACTTACATTCCCACCAGTGACACCTGGGTTCTAACCGCTCCCAACCACCTCTTGTTCTGTTTTTATTAATTATCACTAATATCTTTATTGTTTTGACGGTAGCATCCTGGCGGGTCTGAGGTGCTTTCTCCTGGTGGTTTTGGTTTACGTTTCCCTAATGAGCATGGCCATATTTTCATGTGTGTACTGACCACTTGTTTATCCTCTTTAAACAAATGTCTCTTCAAGTCCTTTGTCCATTTAAAAATTTTTAAATTGTTGTCACTGTCGAGTTCTAGGAGTTATTTATATATTCAGGACCTTCATCTCCTATTCTGCTATTTGGTTTGTACCTGTCCATGCACATATACCTGGGAGCGGAAATTCACATGCTGGGAGTGGGCTGGAACCGGGTCTTGGCCACTCCATGCTCCAGGAAGGGCATCTGGAAGACTAGTTGGAATGCGGAGAATAAAGTCAGAGGCCAGACAGGTGGGAGACTCCAGCCATGGGTCTCACATCTCTGGAAAGGCTGATCTCTGCAAAGCACCATCTGGAGGTATCTTCAGGGACAGGTGAGCCTACAGGGCCAGGGCCTCCTGGAGAGCCAGCCTCCTTCAGAGTCTCCAGCGAAGGGCTCCCAGGATTGCCAAAGGCAACTGCGTGTGCGCTCAGACTAGCAGAGCCCTGGGCTGGGACCCTGCCACCCTTCACACCAGCCGAGGAAAGTCTGCTCAGGGGTCTTCCTGGTAATGTTACCAGACGGTGCTGGGCTTGAGGTGCCAGAAAGGCTCCCTTTGTGCATGAGGACCCTCCCGTTTCTCTCCGCTCCTGGCTGCCGCGATCAGAACAGCTTTCCTCGCCTTGTCCTTCCTCCACGATGTGCTCCCTCAGATTTGACAGATTTGGGTTTGGGCTTAGGGGGCAGCAGGCGGTGGGCGGGGGGAGGCGTGGGACGGGGCATGGGACAGGAGTCAGATGAGCTCTCCACCGTGGGGCAGTGGCACAATCCTGTGGAGCCCTTTCTGTGTCTCTGAAGAGAGGAACAACCTGGTGAACAGGTCGTCGTGTCGACAGGTGAGGGCACTGGCGCACCTTGGTGGTCTCTGGAGCGCTGCGTGCACCCACCTTAGTTCTCCTGGCCTGACCAGACCGTGTGGGAGGCCACGAGGGTAAACACCAGGCTTGGTAGCTCTCCTCGACACTACGGAGAGCCTAGAATATTCCAGCCCTGGCAGTGTGGAACCCCCGGGGACTGGAGGCAGATGCCAGCATTCATTCTGCAAAAGTGGAAGCTCAGCGGCTACTTGTCTGGTTGTCACTGGAGTTAGGGCCCGAGGTGGGCTGGGGACCAGGCCAGTGGTCGGGGTCTCCACCTGGGGTGAGACAGCTAACTGTCCAGAGCCCTTTCTCTCCTTATTCCATGGATGTAAGAACCCCCTGTTTTAGCTTGGCACACAACATGGCCCAGGCTGCCTGTGGAGCGGCTTTGAGGTGTCCCCCAAGTCTCCTGTGTTAATGCAGGAATATTCAGAGGTGAATGGACGGACTGTGACATTAGCCAGTCCCTCCTAGTTTGAATGGACTGACAGGGCAGGGACTAGGCAGTGGGAGGTGAGTGGAGGAGGGGGTCACTGGAAGGAGCATCTGTCCTGCAGCCCCTTCCTGACCCCCCACCCCGTGGCCCTGGCTGCTGTGAGCAGAGCAGCTCCCCCCAGCCCTTCCACCCTTCCAGCCCTTCTGCCTCCCACCAGGCCCAGAGCAGTGGAGTCGGCCCAGCGTGGACTGAACCTCTGAAACTGTGAGCCAAAATAAACTTTTCCTCCTCTAATTGTTCCTCTTGGGCACTTTGGTCACAGTGACGAAAAGTTGACTAACTCTAGTGCCAATATGATGTGACAGAGACCATGTAACTGGATTGACGGGCGATGACTTGGGCACTCTCCCTCTTCCTCCCCTCTGAGATCTCCACCAAAACGGAGTGATGCCGTTTCAGCCCTGCAGACTGGGACATCTCTGTAGGACAGGGAAGAACCACGGGTCGAAAGAATGTGGGTCCCCAAGCAGCTTCCTGGAGCCACCCCACAGCTCGGGCTGCTTCCTTCCAGACCATTATGTGAGAGAAACAAAAGGCTCTTTCTTCAGGCCACAGTATTTCCAGTCCTCTCGCTCCTCACTTTGCCGGGGGCTTCAGTGACAAGCGTAATGCGAAGCTGACATTCTTGTAGGGGCTCCGGGCCCCACCAAGAGTGTGGGAATGTAGTCCTCGTTGGAGCAGCACTCCAGCCAGCCTGGGAGGCTTGCCTTCCTCGTCCCAGCAACGTCTGAGAAGCCGGAGTTCCTCCGCCCACTGTGGTAAGTACGTCTGGGATAAGATGGTCCGGGTGTGGCTGGCCCTGGGCTCTGACTCTGAGCCATGAGTCATTGAACTTGACTCCCAATGGACACTGAGGACAGCTGCCTGCCCCAGTGCTCAGAGCCGCTGTCCCACGTTGACAGAGGCCCCTGTGGGGAATTGTCTCCTTGGTCCCTAAGGAGGATGGGCTGAGTCCTCCAGGACCTACTTGCTCATCAGGCAGTCTCCAGGGGGTGCCCTGACCCAGGGCCTGGTGGCAGGAGGCATTTCCCTGGCTTAGGACGTGCAGGCAGTGGCTAAGAGCGGGGTGCTGGGGCCCCTGCTGCAGAGCCTTGCTGCTGGGACTTCTGGAGCTGCCTTTCTGACATGCGCTTTGTTGATTGCCAGCCGCCTTCTCCCGAGAACCTTCAGCTTCCCCTGGGCAGGAACCGACGCCCGGTGCTGTGCTGCGTGAGGCTGGCTGCGGTGTGTCTGAACAACACGAGGCCATCTGTGCAGCCTCGAAACAAAAACATCAAAGCCAGCCTCTGAAGAGCCCCCCCTCTTCCTTCATTCCCAAGGGAACATTCTGGAAGACCCTGGACACCCTCATCATTGGACTAGGCTCCTCAGGCTTTTCTCTGTGGCTTGAGAACCCTTGAGTGCTGAATCCGTGGGCTTGTGTGGTGGTTCAGCAGCCTGCAGAGGAAGGGAAGCCACCGTCCCACCTCTCTGGAGACCTCGCTCCGATCCGGTGTTCCTGCATCAGGCTCCTGCCCCCACACCACCCTGGTGAGCACCCCCAGCCCCCTACTGCCTGCTGCTGCCCACCTGAGTCGGCCCCTTCCTGAATGCTCACCATCACCTACATCATCTACACCATCACTATCTACACCCGTCACCTCTAGGAGCAGGAATTTTGTCTGCGAGGTTTTGTCTCTGTGAGTTACTTCACTCAAGGAAGCAATGAGTGTGGACGCCAGATGATGTGAAAGGGGGGCGGCGTCCACAGGAGCATTCGCACACACATGTGGTGTATCTGGAGGACACCCCAGGTTCACCCACGCCAGTCACGCCCAACTCCCAAGTGCACAAACATCCCAATTTCTCACTGAATGGATCTTTGCCACCAGAGTTGAGTTCCAGGGATTTTGACCTTGGTTGTCATTGTTGGGATTTAAGCTCTTCCTGGGTGGGGTGACTCGCAGGAGCGTGGCGGGGGAGAGAGTGAGACATCTGTGAGAGGGTGACACAGCCATGCTGGCCCTGCTCCTGGAGTGAAATGTGGCCGCTGGCCCAGCGCACAGGTCACACAGGCCTCCGTGGCTGCGTGGCAGGAACGCAGTCTGTCTCCCTGGTCAGCCCAAGTGCAGAGCAGGACAGCTGAGA